AAGCGAACTCTTAGAGTCAACGATATTTTTATTTTCGTTTCTTTCTTTCTGTTTTTTTTTTTTTTTCTTTTACTTTTTGTATTTTTTCTTCGCCCTATCTGCTAATCTTCATTTATTGTTAAAAGAATTGTGATTTTATCTTTTTAATTATTTTTTTTGATCGACAAATTGTTTCACATATATTAAGAGTTTTCTTTAGTAGGTGAATATTAATCGGATCGGCGGCCATATTGACGTACGACGGCGCCATTTTTAGGAAGGTTAGTTCTTCGAGTCCTCTTCCTTTCAAAATAGAAACCTCGAGTAAACTAGATATTTCATTAATAATTAATTTAATTCACTTATTTATTTTTTTTGTTAAATATAACTGCATATATATGCTTACAACAGAGAGAGAGAGAAAGATAAGTTATATAAAAGTCTGTCAAACGACGACGTAATTCATCAGTCGGCTTTGGTTTCGAGGCCAAAATATATCTGCTATATATATATATATATATATATATATATATATATATATATATATATATATATGTACCCTCTTATATACATTGGAAAACCACAAGTTTCTTTCTCGTTAAGTTTCTCTCGCCAGTAAATTGCTCACACTTATTACCAGAGTCATTCAATTACTCATTATAAACGCATTAGATTATTGCCAAGTCGAAGTTAAACGGAGGCCATCCTATATTCTCTCAACACGTATGTATGTACATATTACATAGAACAGAGACAAAAGATAAGTGAAGTTACCTCTTAAATTCTCCTTTCTCTGTAATATCAACATTCCGCAGAATTGAAAGAAAAAGAAGGAACAAAAAATTTTTCAAAGAACAGAGAAGAGTTTTTTTTTATGACTTGCAAAGACTTTATAAAAATTACAAACGACATATTATTATTTTTTTATTTATCGATCATTACAATGTTCCATTAACTTTTTCTTACTTCGAACGTATAAAAGAGAAAGGGAGGAAAAGAAAACATAGGGTTTACTTCCCTTTTAAGATTCCTAAGTATACTTTTTAGAGACTTTTAAAAACAGACAAATATTGTATCGGTGTTTTTTCTTTCTTTCGTTCTTCTTTATTTCTTTTTCTTAACATAAATATAAAAAATCATTGTCTACTTCCATTTTGTCAAGAGAGAAGTTCATTCTTGAGATTAGTTTCACGTTGGCACCTTTCAAAATTAGCACGTTGCATTTGATGATGAAATGTAGAGTAGAGTGTAGAGTAGGGGTTAGATGGATGAGGTGGTAGTAGGGGGAAGGGTTTAGAGAAGAGAGAAACGCGTTGGTACAAAAGACGCCATTCGTGTGATATTTTGCGACACGTGGCGGCTTCCTTCCTCTTACGTAAGACCTTTGAGAACTTCAGCAGTGCGTTCGTTTCGTTGGCTGAAACTTTTGCAGGCGCTCTTAAAGTGACGTAACATCTTTCCCTCCACTCCTCTCTCTCTCTCTCTCTCTCTCTCTCTCTCTCTCTCTCTCTCTCTCTCTCTCTCTCTCTCTCTCTCTCTCTCTCTCTCTCTCTCTGTCTCTCTGTCTCTCTGTCTCTCTGTCTGTTTGTCCCTCATTTTTCGCAAGGTATGCAAACTTTAAAAAAAGAAAAAGAAAAGGAAATAATATATATTGCGTTTTTTCACATAATCGTTGTTAATCAAATATTTTATTAGAATTTGATCTAATCGGCCTAATTTGTGTATTTAGTCATTATTAATTAGAAGAAGAATTTATGTGTTAACTTTCTCTCATTGCAAAAGAGATTGCGGCGTGTGAAACTCTCGTGGAAATTTTCAATCCAAAGATAGGACTCGTTAAACGTTTCGCGTGCCGCCATTTTGAGAGACTAGTACAACTATTACTACTACTACTATTTCTACTACACACTCCTATTACTATTACTACTACTACTACACTACTACTACTGCTACTACTACTACTACTATTATTATTATTATTATATTATTATTATTATTATTATTATTATTATTGTTCCTCTTACCACGCTAGTTCGTCGATCGAACTTCTATTATCTGTCTCATCTTACCGTAGAGTTAATTATCCAAGTAAGAATAGATAATTAATGGTTTTAGTCCGCTCTGGCATTCGTGGAATCCTTTTGTTGGATATATACGATCGTTAACAAGAAGATTCCTTGCATGATAACCTAACCTTAAAATCAGTTAATTAACCATCTATGCTATGCAGCGATATAAACAATACATGAATATTACAAGTTGCTGTAATACATTAGACAAAGATATGTCTCCTCTTTTTTTGTAAAAGATATATATTATTATTATTATTATTATTAACCATACTGTTAACCCCATGATATAAATGAAGTAATAGTCAGTCAAATCCCTAATTTATACTAATTCGCACTAACGGTAAAACATGATGATAAAAAAGCAAAATAGTTCATTGGATTTTCAAGGAAAAAAAAAAGAAAAGGTATGAAGGAAAAAAGAAAAAGAAGACATACATTTCTTGCCTATT